TGCTGACCCACCTCCCAGCAGCAGCAAACACACATTAGCAGAGAGAGAACTCTAAACCTATAAACGCCTGAACCGCAGCCTGTCTCTGTGCTTGCACGTTAGGCTCTACTTGTCCCACAGCCTTTGCTACCACCCAGCTTTGGTAACACAACAAGGTCACTGGCTAAATCAGGCTGGAAGCTCATCCAAAACTCACTAGAAGGAAGTCTCACCAGTCACTACATGGCCCAAAACTGCTGGACAGTGACACTTCTGAGGAGGACAGAGGCTGTTAGAACAGCTATAGGAGTGCAGCAGAGCTGCAAAAACCTCCTCTCCAGCTCCCTACGCCTGTCCCTGTGACCCTGAGAACTTGCTGGTGTACCACGCACACAGACATCGCCCCGCACTGCCAAGAAGTGCTCCAGCTAGCACCAAAGAAAGCTCATTTCTGAAGGAGAAGCTTCTGCAAGAGAAGCCAAATGCCTCAGCTTTATCAAAGCAGCTTACTAAAGGGGTCGTGACTGCCTAAGAATGGATTCAGAGTTATACTGGGTTTTTTTTCTGGAAGGCTTCACATTAACCGTAGTCTCCGGGTCCTGTCAGAATATGTGGCCCCTTCAAGCATGCTCTAGTTCTGCCTTGCGCTACTCAGTTACTACCCTCTCCTCTCCGAGGGAGGGACAGGAACTGCTTGCAGAATTGCAGGAAGAGGCAGGGTCAAGGCAGGACAGCAGGTCCCAGCCTCCATCTGCTGCACTCCAGAGCTTTGTACAGATGTATTTAAATTGCAGTCCAGACAGCTCTTGCTACATGTAAGAATTTCAGCTGCAAACACTCACCACTCACATATAAAGGGCTCATCCCTAGTGTCTGAAAGCATTTCAGGTAAGAGCATCATTGTAAAGACAAGTTTTGGCCATTTTTAACCCGCATGTAGTTGCTTCAACAGACTGCTCTATGCTGGGAAGTACCCTTGTGGTAAAAGAACTGTCACCTTTGCATTTCCAAATTGTAACAGTATGTTAAAGGTCAGGCCCTGTCTATTCAAAGCATCACAACTTCTCCCACAGAGGGGATGCAGAGTAATTCAGAGCAAGATAGGGAAAGCCCAGGTAATAGAAAATGTTGCAACTACGTTTAAGGAAATACATTAGATACTGGAATACAATCCCTCCAAACTACCAAGAACACCATCTTCAACATCTGCAATAGAATTTTTCATGTCTGCCTCTGACAGCTTCAGTGGTAGCACAGAACTGTACAGCCTTTGTTATTTGTTCACAGAAAAAAAAAAAAAAAAAAAGTTGAGCTGCCACATTTCAATAGTCTCAACTGGCAGAAGAGGATTAAAACCAAACCCACAAGAACACAGTGAGGGCTATTGACGATTAGTGCGATTACCCTTGGACACACAGCCTTCCCCCAGATGGCTCAGGACCAGATGTGTAGCAAGCTGCCCCCTCAGCTGTTCATTTCCGTAATGAAAATGAATTTGCACCTGTGATACAAAATTAACCCAGGAACCAGAAGACTCCCAGTTAAGTACATTTGTTGCTTTGCACACAGAGGGACACTGTCAGGAGGCAACTAGCTTTCAAAACTGTTACTCTGGGGAGGGCTGGATAACTTCCGGCCTTCAGTCCTCAGCACCTGGTGCATCATTTCAAACAAGCAAGTGCTCACTTTGAACGCAACAGTGCCAAGAGCTTAACCGCTGGCCCACCAGGCTGCAGGGTGGACTGAGAAGTCAGAACATTTACCAGAAACTAGAAATATTCCTTACCTTCCTGTGTACAGTACCAAGCATCACAAAGGTGTCAGGATTTCAACTGAAGTAACAGTCTTTATGTTTCTCTTTAGCTGCTTTGTCATTATGTCAAATTCACAAAAGCAAAGCGGAGAGAAATCAGTGAAAATCGGGGAGACTATGCCAAGGATATGTCTAATCCTTTCACAAGAATTTTGGAAATCTTCAGCAGCAGTTGTGCAACTATTCAAACCGCTTTCCAGCAACTGCTGGCATTCCAAGTTAAGTCATCCACACTGTACCGTACAGCTAACTACAAATACTAAAGCCACACTAGAGATTAAAAATTATCAAGAAAGCAAGCATTAAGCAGCCTTGGGACCAAGTCCATAAGTATGAAGCCAACTCTACCGTTCTGTGGACTGCATTCCAGTTCTCGGCATGTGGAACAGTCCAGGCATGTCAGGTTGCAGTCATATTCACAAGATGGTGAGTGTTTTTGGAAAACAGTTTATTTGTGAATTACATAATATTTTCAATTTTCCAAAATACATCTTACTAGATCCCTATAAAAGAAATCTAAATAAGTACAACAATATGAAATTAAGTTTGTTGCAACAGTCATTAAATATTTACTTCCACTGATATATACATACAGAATGCCACACAATGAGCTTGTTTACCCTTGGAATG